TGGCTTCAATATGTATCTCTAAACCAACCTTGGTTTCCGGGGTTTTCCCCTCCAAGATGAAGGGAAGAACAAGGCATTAATTTCAGGATGAGTAACCACAAAATCTGATTGGTTTATTTTGGTTTCAGCTCTTTGCCTACTTTAATCATGTAATAAAAATGATAAGCCAATTAGTGACGTACGCACACCTCTTTGATGTGATTAGCTGTGGTCCCAAAGCATTACTTCCAAACCCAGCCCGAATGGTTACCCAGCAAAATAGATCACTAACTCACATTTCAGAATAGCGTACCATAATGATGGTCGACAAATATGATGAATAGTAGAAAGTGACAGAAATTGCTGTTATTCCATTTTGCATTGTCTTTGAAAGAGGCTCATCGGACTAATCACGGCTTTTGGGCGTTTGTCAGGGCTCTCAGCCCTGCACCTTTCAAAATCGCCAATTAGCAACCTGACGTCATAGAACGGTCACCAAAAACAAACAAACAGACAAACAAACAAACAAAAACCGCACGCTCCATTGCTAAGTTTTATGCGACATCCTGCTCAGCCAAGAAGAAAGAGGTATTTTTAACAAAGAAAATGACAGACTTTTTATGACATCGTATGTAAATGTTTATCTCACTCTTACGCGTTGAACCGAAATCACTAAGTGATTCAGGTCATCAAATTTGCGACCTCTACGGCAAATTTACTCTTCCAAATTTTTCATCTCTCGCCTTGGTAACCAAATTGTCGCAACCTTGGAGAGCTGTTTGTTATTTGCTTTCCGTGCGAATCATGTCCATTTTGTTCACCGGTTTTTTTTTGTTTGTGAATAGACTTATCGTTACGCAACGTCCCAGGGATATAATTCTTGACTTTTTTGAAATTTGTTGTAGCTCTGATTCTTTAACCGTTTAGATCAACTTACTTTGAGGTTTTAAGGTTCAACGACCTAACTATCTCCCCCATGGCTGGTTGAATTTTGTCCCCGTCAGCAATTTTGTTGGGCCAATTCCGCGAATTTCTGTGAGTCAGCATAGTACTTTCATCAGCAGGGTAGACACTGGATAACTGAACCACTCTGCGGCCTTGATAACGATACACTTTACCATTTGACAAAGAGTTAGACTGAAAATCACACAAGGGAAGATAAGTATCTTTTGGGATCAAAGGAAGGGAAAGAAATTGCAGGCGTTCAGGATCTATTGATTTAGATTTCAGCTCAAGATCTTGATGGTACCTCTCCGAAAGTAAACTGTGCAAAACATCTTTTGCCTCGGTGACTGTAACATCGTTTATATGGGACGATAAGTATTCCGAACTGATAAGGTAAAAGTCGGTATCATTACGACGCTTCCAATAAACTTGTACAAAACCAAGAGCAACTCCTTGCTTATGCACAACTTCTATGTAGTATTTTCTGTCTCTAGAAAGCATTAGATGTTCTGAGATTTGTTCAGGATATTTATCAAGTTGATCCTTCTTGGTCCAAGCATTTACTCCTTC